CCTTGGGGTTGACGTTCCACATCGGGTTCAAGAACGTCGTCGTGACGGGGATCACCATTGGCGTAAAGATCACGGTGATGGAAAAGACCGAGAAGGCCAAGAGGAGACCTGCAGTCCAGTGCGCGACGAGAGCGAGCTTGGACGGCGCGTCGACCGCGTCAGCATCCCGTTGGATGTGAAGCGGCTCGTTGGGCTTGGGCGTTGCGACCGCGTGAAAGTCGGGCTGCGACGCCATGCGAGAGGCTGGTGTCGAGGCAAATACGAAAAGTGAGCGTCGGAGGTCAGCGACCTGTTGGCAGAAGAAAAGACAAACGTCGATATCGATGAAGTCGTTGCTGGCTACCAAGAGACTACGAGAGGCCAGATGTGCGTTTTGGAGAAATGTGTTTCACGCCATCGGTTCGATATCTTTGCAGCGATGGAGACGCAACGATTGGCCAAAGCTTGGCGAATCACCGCTCGCGAGCGTTTGGATTGGCTGTTGGCAAACATCAAACAGGGGGTTAGGGGAGGAAGTCAAGCGAAGGTTGAATTCATGGGTTGGCGGCATGTATATCGTACAGCTTTCGGCCAACACCATGCTGTTGTGGTACGTGCTTTCAAGGCTGTGCACTGCGATGTCGGCCGTCGTCGTACTGCAGCACAGTCACCATCGCCTACACAATTGGTTCGTTCTCCGGCCATCGACTGTTCCAGCCCGAGTAGAAAGATAACGTAGTATAGTCTGCTTGGTACAAAAGCAACGAAACCTTCAACGCCAGGCGGCGTGTTGTCGGTTGGTCGCGGCACGCCGGCGTAACCTGGCGGCGAACTTCCCGACCGAGGCCATGTGCAGATGGTTGCAGATGCAAACGCTGCTGATTGCTGAGGCACACGAAATCCTATATAACGTGATGGGCTGACCTCATGGGACATTTTGTAGGTACACGTATACTAGTACAGTTGACTGCTGCGAATGTACCTGCTACTGCCTATAAAGAGCTACGACTTCAAAGCAGACTGAAAATCGCGCGGTCCTGATGTTACAGTACTGTACATCGAAATGCGCCGCCTACATCAGTGATGTAGGCGGCGCGTTCCGGATGTGGATACACCATACTTGCCGTCTACGCTTTAATTCCGGCTAGACGACGAGTGTGAGCAGAACGAAGAGGAAGCACTGGAAAACAATGATGCTGTCGTCTGTATGGAACAAGATCGACAACTCGGCAGCTTTTGCTTTCATGCACCTTTCTGTTGATGGACATCACTGCACTCTAACGACGGCGAATCGTCGCTTCCTTCGCCTTGACGTCAATGGCAGTGGGTACCTTGGGGCGAACCTTTCAAGTTGACGGTGCGACGCGTACAGCTCTCGGCGCAGCTGCTAACGCAATTGTGTTCCCCAGTTGGTTCTTCACCTGGCTTCATAGGGCGTGATATGCGTGACACCCATGCACCTCACCCCGATTTCGTCTACATGTCGTGGATGGATCATGCGTACCGTTGAGAGCATGACTCACATTTATACCTCTCATTACGCTGTACTACTAGACATTGAGAGCTCTCCCGCTGCCACTGGTCTGACTGCCGTCAGTGGCATCGTCCATTACAGAGCTAGTGCCTGCGTACGTACGTATCTACATCCAAAATGCGCCGCCTACATCTGCAACGCGCGCTTTCCAGTCTGCTTGACAGTAGTTCATTGTTTGCACTTGACTCAAAGTCTATTCGTTGATTCGCAGTGCTACATCTCTGCTAAGTGTAGTTGCCCACGCAATCTCAGTAAAGTGTGTCCTTGCATCCGCTATCAACTGCACGTGGCTGCGCCGGCGTGCCGCGACCAACCGACAACACGCCGCCTGGCGTTGAAGGTTTCGTTGCTTTTGTACCAAGCAGACTATACTACGTTATCTTTCTACTCGGGCTGGAACAGTCGATGGCCGGAGAACGAACCAATTGTGTAGGCGATGGTGACTGTGCTGCAGTACGACGACGGCCGACATCGCAGTGCACAGCCTTGAAAGCACGTACCACAACAGCATGGTGTTGGCCGAAAGCTGTACGATATACATGCCGCCAACCCATGA